GAAAACGTTCCAAGGATATTTTGTTATAATTCTGGCTGTGAAAGAAAGTTTTGAGCGATTTCCTTGCCTCCAGTTCATCTTTGAAAAAAGCAAACACCGGGAAGCCGGCTTAAAACTTAAACTTAAGCTTTAAGTTTGAAGACTCAGGATTTTTAGAGACACTTAAATATTTGTCTTCGTGAATCAAAATTGCTGTCACTGTATATGTTACCGAATTATATTTCTTTTATTGATTGTCAGTAGTCTCTCATGCAATTGTAATCGCTGTGCCATTTGTTTTCTCTCGTTCATGATCATCACTTGCAGGAGTACACAAAATGCCGCGCGTATCAAACGCTTTTGAAGATTACACATCGTTATAAAACCACTCAATAAAAAGGAAACATGATAAATTCTTTATTATGTTGAAGCGTAACTCTATTAATGTTCATTCAAACACTCCACAGGTCACAACCGGCTGGCCGTACGGGTGATTTTGAAAATTTTTTTGCGGTTTCGCAAAAAGCCCACTCGTGCTTCGATCGTTCTGGCCAGAATATTGAATAAGTGCAATGTGAAATACTGCATTCTGTCCGAGGTCTGTATGATAAAAACAGCTCCTCATAGTACTGTGATGTAAAAAAAGTATAAAAGGTTGGTTTACACGCCCCCAGATTTGTTAGCACTACCCAGGTCTGGGTAGGTGCCTCTTATTGGTCGTGCCGCGTAGGAAATTTGATTCAACCAACCAGAAGCACTACCCAGTTCTGGGTAGTGACGCGTCATCAGTATGGAATTTCTGCGCTCGTTTCTCATGCGTCATTTGGCGGGGAAACCAGTGGTAGCGTCGCCAAATGTCGGCTGTTTTCTCAAGCTAGAGGGGCCAGGACTTGAGGTTTCTTGATGCTAGACTAACCATCTAGTTTTCATGCCCGTCCACAATAGGAATAATAGAGTCGGAGTAATGATTTTAGGTCAAAGGTGCTAAAATTATTGTAATTAATGACGCGACAGAATGATGTTTGGTGCTATTTGTTTAGCGCTTTTTGCGCTGTAAACTGTCAGCGATTTTAACAGGAACCCTTGGGTTTTTTTGGCGTGAGGGTGAGTTATCAAAAAATAGAGCTGCATAAAGACTGGAAAATGCAATAAAATTGTGTCTAAAATCAGCAGAAGTTGAACAGAGTGGTTTCTGTCACGAAAAGATGGTGACAAAAGGCCTATCTTATTGCATCGGAAGTCAGATCAGTGTTGCTTGTAACCAATCGGTGCGGGGCTCCAAAGGCTCTTTTTGTTCTTCGACCAATCAGACAAAAGTCTAGATTCTGGACTACGGGCAGACGACGCGTTGAGTAATAATGTATCAGGCGTCCTTTTCTCCTTGTCTCCCAAACAAAAAAGGATCCTAGCTAACAACCTTTACAACCCCCGGCCTGTAATAAATCCAGTAACCATACAGAGGAGGTTAAATTGAAATTGAAAATCCAAATTCGAACGGGCTTGAAGCCTACGTACCATTCCTCCCCCGCATTGATTTTCGCAAAGACATCTGGGATCATTACAAGGAACCCGCCGGTCGGTCATTGGTCAATTGTTTCCCCTGTCCCTAGTAACCGTGCCAGAAGTCTTTGCGAAAGTTTACTTGCACCAATTTCATTCTTGCTTCTAGTCATAGAGCAGTTTTCATACAGTCAAATCCCGATAACTCGAACCCTCGCTAACTAGAACCAAAATCGATTTCCCCTGGATTTCTGTCATACAATCACTGTAATTTTACCCTCTGTAACTCGAACCCTCGATAACTCGAACTCCGCTAACTCGAACCAATTTTCGTTTTCCTCAGGTCATTTTCTGTATTATACTACTACATGAGAAATTTCTGCAATTTGATTGGCTTAGAGCAGTTGTATTTCAGCTTAATTTGAAATACCCACATGTGAAAATTACAAACTTTTTGCGGGTAGTAGTATAAACAATTAATAGCATGAGTTGCATGTGATATTTGGCATAAATACCACTCGTGATATTTCAAAATTGTCTCAAATTTCACTCGCCTAACGGCTCGTGAAATTTCGTGTAACAATTTTGAAATATCACTCGTGGTATTTATGCCAAATATCACTACAAATCATGCTATTACCTATACTAATTTTACCCTCGATAACTCGAACCATGTTTTGAGCCCTTAAAAAGTCGGAAAAAACGCCGTCTACGGGCCTCCGAAACATTGAATTTTGGATTTCTTATTGACGTGTCGTAGGAGTATTAATAGTTTACTAGTGGAGGCTGATTGTCACAGGCTAACGTGAAGCAGCTTTTCTTCCCAAAACAGTAAAACGCATGCTCTATTTAGGCTATTTTTTATTACGTTACGTTCTGATTTATAATCTAGAAGTAATTTTTAATTTTCACTTGACATTTCTACAATTAAATGTGATTAAAATGTCCATTGTGCAGCAAAAACTGTCTTTTACTTTACTCTCGGCTATTTTCTTCGAACTCCCGATAACTCGAACCTTTTTTTTCGATTTCCCTTGAAGGTTCGAGTTACCGGGAGTCGACCGTATTTCACTCTCACAACTTCCTTGCGCAACAGTTCTCGGCAAACGAATGTAACCCTTTTATTCATTTGTTTTCAAAATAAGTGCGTAGTGTGTTAGCTTTTGATGTGCGTTATCCAAGTCTCTTTTCACCTGCCGGACTTGGGCTAGTTGTTTCCAATCACCGTGAAAACACACACACACAATAGCCTGCATTATTAATGATGTTAAATCAAATTTCGATATACAGGTTAGCGCTCATTGGAAAGCAAAATCTCCGAACAATTTTTTGAGCGATAGATGTTGTTGCCATTCAGTTTTTCTTTATTTCATCACAACTACGGTTATTTTAACGTTGAAAGCAATATTTTAGGAAAATACTGTATTTTTCAAGATCTTACACAATGGAAAAGAGTATGTTTCCACCTGTTCTGACAAACCTTATAAAATCAATTAGTACCGAAAGCCAGCAATATAGCTGGCACCTAAATTCAACGATGGAAGCGTATTCGCTCACAATCGAATGGGCAAGGATTCGTTCAAGCGGCAAGAAGGAAAATGTTTGTCAACATTCACCACAGATTGTAAATGAAGAGAATTCACCGCAAGATACGGCATTGTTTAGTACTGATTGTGGCATGGACGCAGCCGCAGATAAAGAGATGGATGATAACGTTCTCAAGAAAAACCTACAAAGGGAAGATATTGACGTGAGATGTGTTGTGCGGAATGCTCTTGAAGATGAAAACGAAACAGAAGTAATAATCGATCAAGGGGAGTGCGATGTACCTGAGGCCATTACCACTGAAAACAAAGTTGACTACAAAACCCAAAGATCTTTTCAACCCGGGGAGAACTCAAAGGCCTCCAAACGAAGGCATAAGAGAGAACATTTTGACTTTTTGCCTGGAAAACATACAACTATTGTAGCGGCTGAGCATGAGGACGGAGTAACAAATAAATCAGCGGCTGCTTTTCAAAGCAAGATGACAACATAAAGAAAGCAATTTGCTCATGCGGGGAGACTTTTTCATCTCGTCGATCATCTCTCAGTCATCTCTTATCTAACTGTCCGGTAAGCCTTTGTTTCAGAATTGATCTTGAATGTGACGTAAGACAAGTGATTGACGGTTGGCAAGGAGATGACAAAAACGCTGGTGAGGCTTGGTGGCAAGGCTACAAGAAAAATGGGTCTCCGGATGAACAACTGAAATTAAAAGATGAAAATATCGATCGCTTGTCAGCACTAATGGATAACTTCATAAACATAGCCACGACAAAAACGCTCACAGATCAGATAGGAAACTATTTTGCGATAATAACGGGCCTTGAAGAAATTCCAAATTATAATGATTAAACGTGGGCTAGGAATATGGGAAGCGAAGAAAAGGCGAAAGGCGAAGAGAAGAAAGTGAGACTCCATAGAAACCGATGGAATTTGCTCTCGTATCTTTAGAGTTCCATATACTTGTATTTGTAGTGGGTTCTCTCTTTGGCCGCCGACTTGGAGGTGTCGCGTGGGACTAGGTCGGTGTTAAATCGAACTGCACCATGGGACTGTTTTGAGATGTAATCTCTTGTCATCTGTCGTTTCATTTGGGAGCTTAAGCAACGACGACGGCGACGTCAACGAGAACGGCAAAAAGCAATAGGTTTAGATTAGCAAAACAACAACTCTGAACGTGTGCATTTCTTTGCCGTCACTCCACGACTACGACGTGAAAATGCCTAATTTCAGGTGTTGGGAGGACGGACGTGAACACAAGACAACGCCTTTTTTTTTCTTTTCCAATAATAACAATATTTTAGAATTCAACTCCAGAAAAATTTGCTAACAATTGACGCACTAGAGGAGATGGAGTTTGAGGCAGCGCGATTCACTTTTTAAGTGACGTTTTAGTAGCCGTCGTCGTGCTTAAGCTTCCTATTGACTATCAGGAGGATGAGCGGGAAACTGGGTCACAATTAGTTCGCCCAAACAGCCCCACAATGCAATGATCAGCCCAGTTACTCGACCAAGGAAAGTTTGACATAGACAACTGTTAAGGAAGCCTTATTTGTGTGAAGAGGTCATCTATAAACCGCACAGTCCACCATACACTTAGTGGATAGCAAACCTGTGGCTTTGAACGAATATTCTCACGCATTCTCATGGCTTGCTTGATTCTGTTTAACTCTGTTCAAAAACAAAGATGACTATATAAAAAAGACAGGGCAGTAATGGCATTTATTTTTAACTACTTCAACGCAACGAACCATTTTTATCAAGGTATAAAGTTATTTAGAGAGAATAAATAAGAAGTACAAAACACAGCATCGTGGTCCTTCGGGGTTGAAAGTGGCATGGGCATCTCATTTCCCAGTGAGCTACAAAGACTGTGAGTGCAGAACTAAACAAGCTTTAGAGAAAAAATTCCCCTGAGGTCCATATTCGTGTAGATTTCCCCCAGTCTTGATGGTCTAACTTTTTGCAGTTCGTTTTTATTCAAACGCGAAAGCTAGGCTATCTTGGTCGTGATGGTGCCTCTTTATCCAACTTTCAGAATGAAGTTGGAATGGTAAAGAACTAACTCTTGATAAATCAACCACAAGTTCGTCCAGAGTTGCGGGGGGCAGCTGAAACACTAGAGCGGTTTCACCATAATAGTTACCAAGTCTTTCCTTTTGTCTTAAAAAACTATCCAGCCACCGATGTAGTGTCCCATGACCAATGTTGAGGCATTCGCAAACAAACGCTTGGAACTTTTGAGGTTCACTAAGAAATACGTACCTTTTGTTAACCCAGGATACAATCTTAGTCACGTGACTGGAAATATCTTTGAAATTTTCCACCACATTCCACAGTGTGTATTTCCGAAGAAAGTTCTTTCTCCGTAACCCTACTGATAGTATATTCCAGAGAGCCTTGCACAGTGGTTCACAAGCACCTTCAACAATGTCTTTATGTTTGCTATCATCAAGCGCTTCCTCCGGCGTTCCACCGAACTTGGACATTTGATCGAAAATCCCTTGGATGGCGGCACGCAAGGCATCTTCCGGGGAGTGTTTTGAGTTTGATTTAGACAAACCTAATCTGGGATGTGTTTCAGGTTTGTTTTTTCCTTCTCCGCTTTCGAAAACGTGAGTGGCATCGTAGTTGGTTTCAGAGTGCCCACCTTTTTGTTCTCTTGAGGATTTATCCGGGATATTCGATGTAACAGGCAAAGATTGCTTTTGATTTACGTTTTCGGATTCGCTGTGAAAAGTAGCATCACCTTGGGGTTCACCTTTCAATAAAAATACATCCAGGATAGAGTTGGATCCGCTTCGCAGGTTTTCGGGCCATGCTTCTTTCGTTATTGCGCTATTGAGAGTTTGGTCCTCCACTGGACCTGTTAAAGCCAAAGTTCCATCGACAACATGGTCATTCTCTACTACTGTCCATAATTTCTCCTCTTTATGAAACAATGCTTTAAGATTTTGGGTTAATTGAACTTTGACAGTAGAAGAAGCACTCTCATTGATGAACGAGGGGACTCGGCCCCGTTCTACCATAGACCAAGTCCCATTCTCGCATTGCAAATGCCAACCGGAAAGGCAAATTTTTGTAAACGTATTTGCTTCGCCTACTTCCTCTTCGTCCATTTTCCGACCCGAACAAACTTTCAACACGAGCTCCAGAACGCGAGGAGAACCAACAATGGTGTAGTCACACTGGTGGATCACAAGGTGCGGTCGCTCCTTACAAACGTTCTGGACGTCAATGCTGCCTGTTGGTCTTCCTAGGTTTGCATTAATCGCTTTGTGCGATAAGGTCTTCTGAGCTAAAGCTGGGTTGCTATCATTACATGCTGCACCTGTCAGGCTATTATTGCCCACATTTTGCGAAGATATCTCGTCTCCTTCGGCAGAGAAGTAGCTTTCGACAGACGCATCATCGTCGCTGCTAGTGTTTGCTGCCACAGTTTTGTCATCCGGAAGATGGCATTCGGTAAGTGGTTCCCCTTTGATTGTATACTGTGACGTAGTACCTCCACCAATTCGCTCAAAGCAATGATTTCTGATCGACTCACCTCCACTGGTATCATTTGTTACCGCAACAGTATCTTCCTTAATGACAGAGGTGTGCCTTTCGAACGAAACATTTTCTTCGTTTGTAGGTTCGCTGTTTTGGTGGTTCACAGATTCACCGTTTGCCACATCATGAGTTTGAACGTTTGTTTCTTTGCCTTTTATAGTTAAGCCTTCTACAGTAACAATAGATTCCACACACCCACCATCGGTTAAGGACGGCTCACCTCCGATTCTCATTGGCAATGTACAATCATCTTTACACAAACCTTCACGCACAGATGGGTAACTGTGTTCCTTTTTCATGCGTCCGTGTGGAAACTCCATTTTAGGGGGGCTCTTTGATAGCTCCAAAGATTCTGCGAGCACTGGGTCACTCAACATTTGTGGCAAACAAGAAGCGCTTAGTTTTTGAGACATATCAGATGAATTGCCAATGTCAGTGGTCTCTCTGTTCACTTGTCCAACTGAATTAAAATCCACCGAGCTACATATGTGCGAATCTCCATTTTGAGTTGTGTGTTTAGTTCTGTTTACTTGAGGTTCGTTTTGATCATCAGTCACGTCGTAATGGTCAAAGTGAAACATCAGATCTCCAGATAGGTTGAGCGCTGTTTCCTTTGTTTTTTTCAAAGGGAATGCACTATTTTGCTTACACTGTTGTCGCTCCAGTTTTTTCAACGCTTTCATATTCTTCATGTTCTGCAGTACTTTTTTCCGCTGAAAAAGAAGAAGGTAAAAAAAGGAATTCTTTCAATAAAATGAGTAGTTTCTATAATAAGCAACGGTCTCAAATTCCAGTATTCCGCCATTCTGGGAGTTGTCTCAGGGAAGTTTAGTAGCAATTAACTATGTAAGGCCTTTTAACTGAAACCAAACCTTTCAAGGCGAAGCCTTGAAGCCATTCCTCAAAATGAAATGAAACAAATAAATAGCGCCAGGGTTTAACCTGTTTAAATTGCACGCCTTGATGCATGTAGCTCTAAGATAGGATAAGATGCTTTATTTCAAGTGGCGCATACTCTTAGCTACATGGGTTAGTTAAAAAAGAAAACTTCACCAGCTAACTCACAGGTACATGTATGCCAAAGAGCTATTTACAATTAAAATCAAGTTATCATACAAAAAATACTAGATTCCCAACTTTTCGGAATGGATAGCAGTAGCGGCTAACAACATGATGCAACACAAACGAAATCTGGAATTGGTAGCCCTACATATATAATTAGCTCAACGCTGGATCTCAGTTCATTAGCCTGTGTTGCAGCCGGCCCACGCACTCGTCTAAACCATCAATATAGTCCGTCTGCGAATTAGTGAACAAAAGCTCGTTCTAATATCCTGTAGAGTCGCAAGGACAATCACATATGTGAGCGTTTCTGATAAGCAGTTTTCTTACGGGTTTCTTATGCGCCTCACGATTGGCCTAATTCTTACATCTACGTGACGGCTTCTTACATCTGCGTGACGGCTGAGCGCAGTGACGTGTCAAAATTCATAAAAGGGAGTTGGCAAGGATCGTTTACAGTAAACAATGAAAGAGCAGTTCTAGCGTCAAAACAAAGTAGGAAATCATGATATTCACGGCCAAAAAAAAAAAAGTACACACATGTAGCTATTCAAGTCCAGGCATTTAGGATAAAACCAAAGAGACCAAGGTTATTTAGCCACAGAAACTGTATCCACGATCAAATCCTGTCAGAAAACATTTGCCGAAACATAAACCACGGTAACTAATTACTCAATATGCATGGAACAGACCAGCTTCATAACCTCTAAATGTGGGACTCAAAGCGGCAAATACTCCATGCACTGCATAAACTACGCAAACAGAGAGCAAGAAAAACCTCTATTGTTCAAGCTGACTCTAAGGTCACGTTTCACACTATCACAAGCTCAATCCGTCTCTTGTCACGAGCTATTAGTCGTGTTCGGCCTGTCAACACTTAATTCACATCGGACTAATCACAAACCGCGTAAGAAAAAGCCAATCAAAACGCCTACATATGTCCTTGCGACCCTGCTGAATTCGAACACGATATTGTGCACAAATTCGCAGACGCTCTATACAGAAGGTTTAGAGCGTCTGCGACGCAGGCAATCCCACCAAACCCTTCTATCCTTCGGGACCGCCTTTTGTTTTACATTGAAAACACAATCGATACCCCGGTTCATCTTTCTACCCGGGTTGCAAAGCGATAGCGGTTAAAAATTTGTTACGTCCGCCAATCACATTCCGAGTTAGTAATCAAATGAACCCCTCTTAATACACGTTTTCGGAGAAAAACCCAGGAAAAGCATGTAAGCAAGCTGGAAGTGTTTGATATAATGTTACTTCCAATTAGTTGAAAAATGGCGCGAGAATTTTGAACCAATCGAAAAGTGAGGTGATGCCAATCACGAAAGCAAGAATAGTCACAAAAGTACTCTGAACACTTTCTTAAAAACCACTTTACAATAAACTGTTCTTAGTTGTTAAAGAGCATGGCTTGAATGGTGACATTTTAGGGAGGCTTCCGATCTTAAGAATTTCGTTACCAAGCTCAAAGAACTGAACCTGGACCAAGACGAATGTCGCTGCAATATCTGCTCTATTGAGTTAGTTTTCCGAGTTGTTAAATTTAATGTTCTTCATTTTTAGTTAGATTTAAGTTATTGCTATAGAAACACGAGCATTTTTGTAACGAGCCTTCCTTTTACGATCACTATGTCTCGTGTTTAAATAAATGATTGATTGAACTCATGAGAGGAGCTAAGCCACGTACCTGCTGTATTTGTATATCCAGACCACTGGGAGACACAGGCGAGGAAGCAGTTAACACTCTTTCTTTCAGAAGGAATCTCCCTACACAGTTCGAGAAGGGAAATATAAAATGAAAATGAACAAAACTACAGTCAAACCCCGTATTACGAACACCCGCTTAATACGGAGAGTTATTAAGGAGAGTTTTTCTTTGTCCCTGGAGAAAGCCCTTACAATTTCTCTACATTCAACACGCTTAATGCGGACAACGGACACTTCTTTCTTGCCCAATGAACAGATTTTCGTAGAAAGTCAACCTCACTAGAGCAGACACTTCATTATCGACTGTTAGCGTGGGTTAGGGTGCGTACTTCGAGTTACGGCTGCACGCGGGAAGTTTGGAGAGTACGAGAGAAGCGTAAGAGTTGCTCGAGGCGTAGCCGAGAGCAACTCTAGCTTCTTGACACTAAGACAGCTTTTTAAAATGATGGTAAATAGCGTGACACGGCCCCTTTCAAACTAAATTTAATAAGCGCTATGTTTTGTTGGTTACAAAATGATGTACTTGAGTGTTGAAACTGCATTATTATATTGGAAGGGAATCGTAATGTTTAGTGTCATTGCTCTTATAGAGACGACTTGCCCAAAAATTTAGGCGAAACAACCGGCGAATATCGCAAAAAGTCCACTTCCGGTTGAAATGCGTTGCTCAAAAACGTCTTTGCTTAAACTCGCTATTAGGCTGATTTAGAATGGGAACGTCAGTTGACGACGGCGCGCGCAAATCAAACAACTGGCTTGACCAATGGCAGAGCGGCAAATTGGGCACAGAAAGTCGCGTTTAGTCCTTTCCGCGCGCTTTCCTGTCGTCAACTGACGTTCCCGTTCTGCTGCTAAATCAGCCTAAATTAATATTCCTAGTTGAAACCTGGGTAAGTTCCGCCCTGAAGGGCCACTTGGCTCGAACGCAGACTTTTCTTTACCTTTTTAAAATTTAATCTATTAAATAAGGTGTTGCAACTCATTGTGACAAGATTATGATCCATGGTACATATGTAATCACCTTGAAATGAGTGTTTCAAAGGTTGTTCCTCTGGGTCGAAGGGGAAAGCTAGAAAGAAAAAAGTACCAGTCGAGAAAGATTAATAGTTATTATGATATCAAAGCCGACGCGTACAGCCAACCCCTCCCTCGTGTATTCAGACTTTCAGACTGCCGTTTTTCTTTTCTAAACGCAAACTAGGGTGTACGCAACAAGTAGCGTGCAAAAAAGCGAGGGGGTAAGGGAGAAAGGAGACTCGCGCTTTACACACACTTATTGGGGGGTGGCCTTTATTAACTTTTTTGTCCCAAATGCGTGGCTTTTTCGAGGGCTTATTCGATCTAGTCTGCCAGTGTTTAGCTACGTTTCCTGCTTATTGATGAATGTGTTCATTACTTACTTACCTGTTCCTGAATCGCTAATAAGAAACAGACCAAAATTACTTAAACCAAGAGATGACAGCTTGTCAGCAAAAACTGGAAGATAGGGAACCTACAGTACAAGCGAGAAGAAGGAAAAACATTGTCACATTTACCGGTAAAAAAAATAAGAATTTTACAAATAGAAAAGGGAGAAACTATGGTATATTAGTAAAATCCAACTAGTGGTCTATCATCAACGCTGCGTTCTGATTGGTTGAGCTACTACTAGGCTATATGTTATAACCCACTAGTAGCGAAGAGCGCCGTCAATTTGGCGGGCAAAAAATGATTAAAGTGTATCTTTAGCTAGCTAAAGTTGTTTTGCCTCGATATTTTTGACCAACTAGTTGGATTTTACTTAACCAATTATTCCTCTCGCCCTCATGGCCTCTGAGTCAATAGCCCATTCGGCTTTCGGCCTCATGGGCTATTGACTCAGAGCCCATTCGGGCTCGAGGAATAATTGTTAATTACAGGAAGGCAACTGACAATACACCATTTGCAAATTCCAAAAACCCTCATTTTCAAAACGAGGCTAAGTGGAAACTTGATAGTTAATTGATCACTATAGAAATTACAAGAATTCGCAGTTGGAAAAGAGTTACATTATACATGTGTACCTCCTTTGCTCTTAAGGAAACCAAACAAGGAAGAACTTGAAATGTGCCATCTTCAAAGTGTACTATCAGCAGCTGCATAGAACGGAAATAAAATCAGTGAGTGAGTCCCAAACCGTTTCTTTCTCACCGGACACTCAGATGTTTTCTGCTTGTACTGTGCAAGACATTTATGAAATCTCTCTCGAGTAATCTTCACAAATAAATATTTCTATTTCGTCTGAACCACACCCTGGTTACCTCCAATACTCGAAACGGACACCGTTCCTCTTGAATTTTCTCGAAAATTTCCCACATTCACTCTTTGCACCTTTGTTCTCACTAAAATGGGCCCCTCTCCTTCCGCAATGTTGAGCTAAGCGTACTTTGGAGCACTGAGACGACTGTAATATCCAAATCAAATTTGGGGAAGGGGAAAACGACACACAAGTGTTAGTCAAGATTTTTGACGAGTATTGTGGCCCAGTTGCTGGTCAGGAGTGTGGTTTTGCAGAAATGGGGGATGGTTGGCGCTAAATCTGGTTGGAATAGAGAGGAGAAGTCGTTACGTCACGTTGCCATGGTAGCAACATTTTTGGATGACAACAAACCGACAAAGTCACTTTAAAGTCTATTCGCACTATTTCAAACTTCACCGATCTTATTCAACTTTAGCAAATCTTGGCAAAATTTTCTTTGGGACAGTATCTATCGTTATCTAAGTTTAGAAAAAGAAAGAGACAATTTTTGTGGTTGTGTTTACCTACTTCATAAAGCGGGCTCGTGAAATTAGGAAGTTTCATGTCGTAGTGGTGCAACGACGGCAAAGAAATGTACAAAAAGCGTGACGCACGTGCAAAGTTGTTGTTTTTTAATATAAACATATTAATTTTTGCCGTTCTCCTTGCCGTCGCCGTCGTCGTTGGTTGTCACCGAGAAAGTCTCTATCTCGTGCAAACTATTCTTCCACAAAATTAATGTTTTTTGCTTGCTTGCTTACAAACAAGTTAACCTTGTATCACAAGGCTACCTCATTACCAACAAAACAGGTGGAATGAAAATGAAGAAATCGCAGTGGTGATTTATTTCATATAATTATCATTAACACTCAAAACAGGTGGAGTTACATATTAGCAACTTGTCCTAGTCATCTCATGGAATATAAAACTGGTGTTCAAACTCTTGTTAGACTAAAATCATATTCGTATCCATGGGAAGACGTAGCATATTCCTAGTGTTCTACTTGAGAAATCGAAGGACTTGTCCTGACAAGCCGCAAACATGTCAACAGGTCTAAAAAAGACAAACATTTTACCTTGTAATTGTGCACCAAGAGATAAAAGTGTCGCCCATGTACTGAAACATCTAATGCATCACGCTTATGGTCCAATTTCTTTCCTGAAATGTGAGAGGCTCTAGCAGTAAATTTCACCGCCGATATTGTGAACACATATGGATGAAAAGCTTATCTTAAGACAAAAATCAGTGCCTAACTGCTAAGAGGAGAAAACAAAAGTTTTGTGAACAGATTTGAGGGAAACTTGGAGGAAAAAGGTGGTTAAATAAAATTACGGCAAGTTTTCTACTGTTTCTACGTTAACTTTATACTAAAGTCAAAAACGTGTTTTACAATTACACTGGGCAATTTCTTGTTAGTGAAAAACTGAAACTGAAAAAGTGTCACTTCTATTCAATAATTTGATCAATAGAAGCAGAAGTGCTAAAAATGTTGGAAACCATGGCAAGCCACCTTAACTCCAGTCTCCCACGCAGCCGCGGGTATTGTCCTGCCATGCACTAGTCGTCTCCCCTCCAGTTCCTTGGAGAGGAGCATTGCATGACACGATAAAACAGCTGTGTGGGAGACTACCCTAATTATACAAATATAAAAATTATTTAAAATCATCTTTGAGAGAAATTACCAGTTCCACTTTCAGTTACTGTCCAGATTTCCATGGAGGATTGTTGAAGCTTGCATGTGGGACAAGCGGCAAATCCTTTTCTTTGCAAATGTACCTTTCCACTAAGTGCTGACAGAAGCTCTTCTGCATCAAAGACAACTGGAAGAAGGAGCTTGTGCAGAATGCCATCCCATGTGGTTACTATTACCTGGGCAATACTGATAAAAGAAAGAATGAACACCATTAAGTTGTAAGTTATCAAAAGAAAATAAATAAGGAGAAACTCAAGGAACTCATCCGTGAATAGTTTGTTTAGAAAAACTCCTGCTACCATTAAGTGACCAGAAAGAAGACTTGAATGCTTGTCAACACTGACTACCTTTCAAAGAAAGAAACACACACCAACACACTCTTTGCATATCCTCAAGTAAAGGTATTTGCTCTTTTACATGACCCTCCAAATATCATGTTACTAAATATGTGCTCTGTTTCAAAAACTTCCTGTTAATTGTTGAACTGGTTTGGGGTACATGTAGATTGCTTTCTTTATTACACTACCATCCGTTCCCTCTGACGGACATTCGATTGATGACTACAACAATCAATTGTTGTTGTTTTGATATCACACAGCTGAGGTCCTTTTATTTGGGGCAGACTATAAATACTGTACCACCAATTAAAAAGTGCCTGCTCAATAGTGAGTGAATGAGTAACACATTTGCATATCAAAGTGCCTGCCGAAAATTCGTTCCTTAAATTGAATAATTCATGCATCCAAGAATTAATTGGGCACTTAAACTAGTCCTTCCACTGACATTATGCTGTTAAAATGAAAAAATTGATTTAAAATGAACTACATGCTGGTATATATACGTACTGTTCTCCATCTAATGTGCTGAAAATGTTGTGCTCCTAGAAGAAAACAGATGTGATAATTTTGTTCCCAAAATATTACTGTTGCTGTTTGACACAGAACCTATGGAAATCTTGATAATTAGGATTCTGGGAAACTGCCCACCTACCCCTCCCCTAAGTAAACATTAACACTTCTCACTTAGGGCAAAATGTTGGGTTAGGGGAGGGGTAGGTGGGCAGTTTCTCAGAAACCTTAAAAGATCCATAATTACTACATCTGCTATGCTGTAGCCCCACATTTCCCAAAAATTAAAATACTTTTGATTTTGAAGTTGAGACAAAGCATGGTTTCTGCTGGCAATTTTTTGCATCTTCCATTACTGACAAAAATTAGTTTCATCATAAAACAGTCAGACTATAAGACACATGAACGTCATGAGCTAAACCCACTGGGGATTGGGCCATGGGGGCCTTCACTTTTAAACATGCTTTTTCGTTACCAAGTTAATAATAGATGGTGTTCATAATCATGACAACAAAAATCCCCTGGGGAGTATTCCCTTACATTTGCCTTATAGGTTTTGATCTGAAATAAGGTCTAAGGTCAGGGTTTGGACAGCCAGACAACTCACCCCCACCAGGAATTCCCGGGAATACCCCCCCCCCAGAATTACTAAGTTAATTATTAGTAGCATTCATTTTTTGACACAAAAATCCTGGAGAGGGGGGGGGGGTTACTCCCTTACATTTGCCTTATAGGTATTGATCTGAAATAAGGTCTGAGGTCAGGATTTGGACAGCAAGACAACACACCCCCACCACGAATTCCCAGGAATACCCCGCCACCCCGAGAGAAAATCAAAGGTATTTTATGAGCTGGGCCAGCCTTGGGCCAGCCCAGTTAAATATTGAGGATTAACCAAAGTCAGCCAGACAACTCACCCCCACCACGAATTCCTGGGAATACCCCCCCTGGATTACTAAGTTAATTATTAGTAGCATTCCTTTTTTGACACAAACATCCTGGAGGGGGGTACTCCCTTACATTTGCCTTATAGGTATTGGTCTGAAATAGGGTCTAGGGTCAGGATTTCGAGAGTCAGACACATATGTCAGGCACACTCCCACACGAATCACCAGGAATACCCCCCCTCGCCTGAGAGAAAATCAAAGGTATTTTATGAACTGGGCCAGCCTTTGGCCAGCCCAGTTAAATATTAAGGATTTACCAAAGTCAGTTTATTAAGCCTTACCAATTTTGGTGCTTCACTATGCACTAAAAATGTTTGATTAAGATGAGTTAGGTTCTGTCTGAACGTTAGCTTGACTTCCTCCCGTCTATAGTGCTGCGCCCAGAATTCCTTTGCTCTTCTGAGACCATGGACCCATCGTTCCATTTCTTCCCTGGACTAACAAGCAAACAGCGTAAATTTCAAAGTTAAATTTGAAAAAGACAATTAATACAGCAAAATAAAAGGTTGGTTTTATTAAAAGCACTTTGTAAAATTTCCTTGTTAATAAACTTAATTAAATATACCACTAAGCAACTTCATTTACAATAACAAAGGGCCACCTTGTCAGTATTATGTACAATTAATTTCTTTATAGGTCTAGAGCTAGTACCATAACAATGTATGTCAAAGTCAGAGAGATCCCTTAACTAATGTATTAAAGGAATGTTGGCCCCCTTTTATTTAAACAGAGCCATGCCCACTTATCCAAGATTTGCCAAAATCAGCAACTCAGTAGACAGGGAATGGAGACAACATGTAAATTCATAAATGCTTGCATTTAGTACTGTTAATATTGTGATGTTAAAATTTCACCAGAATGGTCTGGTAAAATTTTTTGGTAAACTTTTCTGCTTGATATGTCACTATCTGACTGCCTCTTTGCACTCCCTTACGCATAAGGCCTCAACACCTTTTTGAAGTGTATCTAGTTTCGGTAATGATATTTTTTTTTACAGAGGGGCATTAACCTGTTGCCTAACCCCCAACCTGGAGGGCCAGGCGTTGTAATTCATCTGGCCTTTCACCCAATGGCCCGCGAAGGATTTTTTGATATCTAAAGGCAAAACAATTGAACCCTATGGGATGGGGCAGACGAGATGAAATTTAATCTATTGACATATATTTTTATGTAACCTCTTTATACAAGTTTTTGTCTATTGTATTCCTCCACCAATCACATTAGTTGTTTTTTATTTATGTATTATTTCATATACTGTAACTGTTTATTCTGTTCTCACTTAGCTTTTCCAGCCATGATGAAGACTAGTTTTGTCTAGTCGAAATATTGGGCAAATAAATTCGTAAACCTTAGCTGTCCAATCTGTCTTTAATTTTAAGTGCTCAGCATGGTTAAACCCACCAGGGACCAAGGTTTCAGCTGGTATAGTCTCCAGAATCCTCAGGGCGTGCAAACCCCCCCACCACATGAAGGCGCAACACTTAGGAAAGACCTGCATAAGTGGCCGGATAAGTACCTCAGCTGAGAAAACATATTCCGTATCTGAATCACTGAGAGTCACACCGAAGCTGCAATTCTTGTACTGTTTACTTGGGAACAAAACTTCTGTGATTTCACACACCTCAATTAAAATAAACAGAAAAACAGCAAGAATTACACCGTCAATTTCAGGCTCAAATGTCCATCTACCAACTGTGGAAGGGTAGGAGGGGAGGGGGCATTAGTGTAGTACAGGAAAATAATTTAAAAAAATGAATCTCTTACATTAAATTTGCAAGTGACTACAACAACAAAATAACTTAATGGGCTCGATTAGACTTCAAATGAAATTGGCTGCTTGATTTCTGTATAAATGGCAGCCAGCTAATTAGCAATTAATGATTGAGGCTGAGAAGGATATGAAGAATTAAGCAGATCGAAGAGGGTGTTATCCACCGAGGCCAAAGGCCTAGGTGGATAACACCCTCCGAGATCTGATTTTTGACATCATTTCCTTGTTAAACACAAAATTCTTCCAAATTTGGTCATCAGTAACTGGTTATGGTGAATTATGCACGTGCTTTTAGCCAATCAGAATTGGGAAAATATTTTGAATGAATAATAATTATTATTAATCTCAAATACCTTGAGGAGCAAAGGTGTCATAGTAGTGAGAGCACTAATCAGGGTTTATGCCCTTAGATTGTGGCGAGTTTTTTGTTGGTCTTGTCCTTTATGTTAGTTTACCTGACCAGGGGCTAACATGATCTCTATGCGACAAATGTATATGAAATAAATCATGTATGATCTCAATGCATTAATAATTTATTGTTAGCTATCGAAGTCCAAGTGTTTATAATAAGTCAGGAGTCATGATCAGGAAACTTTAAAATATGTCTCCATATATTTTTTTTTCTTTTAACTCCATCAGAGTAGAGAGCCTTGAAGAAATTCATCAGGCAAGCGAAGTTAAACAGTCGATTTAAATGTTCTTAAAACATAGCCAGTCTTAACGTCTTATTGATGCTGACAGTTTCGATGACTGTCAGCCATCTTTTTCAAAACTTGAAAAACATTAAAAGTGTCAGAAGCCTTAAACAGGCTTCTCACTGCGAAACTGTCAGCATCAATAAGACGTTAAGACTCCAGGCTATGTTTTAAGAACATTTAAATCGAGAGTAGAGAGCCAACAAAATAATTCAGTTATATACATGTACACGCACAATATTCATTTATTACTATCGTCCTTACCTCATCTAGACGTATTTCAAACTCTTTCGTTGACCTCTGTCTTTTAAAATAACTGCTCTCACTATCATATCGATATATCACTGTCTCCAGAAGCTGTCAATGGACGAAATATAAGATAAGAACATGCAGTAATCACAGCATCAAAAAAGTGCCGCATGGATAAAAAGTTTTCTCTGCAGATGTAGACATTGAGCAGACAAAGAATCATCTATCAGTTTTCTTTATTTAGTTAGGGAAAACGTATCGATCATAATAGCCTTTACCTTTACGCCAAAACTGAACTTTGATCAAATGTCACTTCAGACCAGTTTCATTTTCTCACACATACAGCTGTAGCTGAGAGAATTGCACAACTTGCCCGCAACTGTATAGCTAATCATTTTCATGTTTAATAGCTTCTTAAAAGTGTGTTTAGATCATCCGTTTATCACTTGATTTAAGTGATTTTGGCAACAAATGTCATATTACACCCGGAAACAGACTCGGTATGAAGTTTATTTTAGTTTCATAACGCAACGGTTCATTTGCTTACCACAAAGAAACCTCGCTTCGAACGAGGTATTCCGAGCTTGCTAGTGCTGTGAAAAACCAGATTTCCTTGTAAATGAGGAGGCGGACGATTCTAGAGTGAATGAATTTAAAAGACCTTGAGTAACGGAAAATTTTTAGAAATAATTGAGGAAATCGAGACACTTTTACCAGTGAAGTGACTGTCGCCATGTTCATATGTTTACAGGTCTGCCAAACTATGTACCTAAGGGAGGGGAGAGGGGAAAAGTGACAATTTTATCTGCGAGGCCCCGGTGGAAGCCGATTCCATTTTTCAAAAATGGGGCAATGAAGAAAAAGGAAAAACATTTACCGCTTTATGAAGAATCCGATATTGTCTGTGATAGAGATCATTTTAACCATGCATAATGTTTTTTTTTTTCTTTAATTTTTTCATTATACTTTTTTTTATTGTCGGTGGGGGGTGGGTACTAATTGGGGAGGGAAGGGTGGGAATCCTGGAACTAGCACCACTCTTCCTCGACCGATTTGATTCAAGATGGCCTCTTTCTCGATGGCATGTTCGAAGATGTGTGCTTCATCGTTTGCAGCGAGATTTGTTCTCTCTAACCTGAGGTCAAACATAGGTATGGAGTAATTATTGTAGATTTATTTTCTTGCACTCTTTGAATCGTGAGATTGAAGACAACTTATGCAGAAAAACATTTCTCAAATTTGATTTGAACTATACAGTACAGCACTAAGCTTATACAGCTACATTATAGCAATCATTTGAACCCCATTTGAACTACCTTCAGAGTTGTAAGAAAAGGGTTTTAGTCACCTCTGTTTTGTGACTCTTGAATCTTTCGCCTTTTTAAAATCTAAATATTAAAATGTCGTACATGAACCACGAGCACAGGAAAAAATAACAGATTTTGGATAGTTTAGGGTATTTTAAGAATACCCACAAAAATCCCAAATTTGGAAGAGTGAGACAAGTCCCAACCAGGGACCTTGGTTGGGAATTCCCTGGTTGGGACTTGTCTCACTTTGCCAAATTTGGGATTTTTATGGGTAAACCCTAAAATATCCAAAAATGGGAATCTGTTATTTTTTTCCTGTGGAGCCACGAGCCACGAGCCACGAGCCACGAGCCGTATAAATGCATTAGTCAATTCCAGCTGCGCCCACCCCCGCTTCCCCCCCAGGCTGAACCCAGGGCATTAGCATTTTTTTGCCTTGGGTGGCAAATTCCCGGGGGTGGGGACTCTGGAACTGTAAAATCCCCTGCAGTGCGGATGAAGAAAGAGAGCAAAAGGGGGCAAATGCCACAACCTCCATTTAACACTGCAACATTTTTCATTAATCGCACAGTCAAGTAGTGCCATTTTGAGCATTTCAATGTGCGATTTTTTGTTTGTGCTATTCTAATTAAGACTTCACACTGCAATGACACCAGTTTATGGTTTTAGTATTGTTATAAAATTGACATTAAAATTAATAGTGTGCTGTAAAGTTATCTGTTCTGAATAGTTTTGTGAACACAAAAGGGTGTTCTTCAAATAACATCAACAGAAATTTGATTCAACGACCAAAAAAACATTGAGTCATGTCAATAGCTCCCAATTTCACAATGTAATTCTGGCTTGATAAGGAATGAAGAAATGCATGCATAAAATCGAGAACATACCTTTACGACCCTCTACAATTTCTTTCGTCTTTGACAGATCTGCTTGTTTTTCCAGTAAAATCCTTTGTGTAGTTATATTCGCATAGGAAACCACATGTGCGTCAAAAGCTTGGGGGTAGCTCCGGAGTTGACAAATGCCCGACCCCTGGGCAGCACAAACTTTGTTAATGCCCTACCCCGGGACTGACATTCAGGGCAGAAAAACGTAATGAGCATGCGTGAACTTTTTAGCCCAGATCCCCTGGCAAGGTTTGAAAAAATGGCAGGATTTCAAATATTTTATTGCCTAAAAATAAAATGTTTCCACTCATAACCTGGAAAGAACAGGCAATTTGTCTTCAAAAGTTGCAAGCTGTGGTTATAACCTTGTCGTTACTTAATTTTCTCGAAGAATACCTCATAGTAAAACGGACATTAAAGGCATTAATTTCCTTGCGTTGTACTGGAAATGTGCACGCGTAGGTCCGATTTTTTTTTTCAAGATGCATTCATGAAATGTGTTCATATAAGGAAGTTCCTGAATATATAAGGTCCGGACCTCCACTTGTACTGTGGACAAAAAAACAACATATCTTTGGACAGTGATTTGCCCAAAAAAATTAACGCTTGCCCATAATGTGTTTGAAGTCACTGAACTTTGTCTCACTTGAGCTGACTTTTAAAACCTGGCTCGATCGGACACTCGTAGTTTCGCAGATCATTAAAATATAAACAAAATCCTCAATGTAGAAGTTATTGCGTTGATATGTGGGCAGAAAAAAGGTCAATCTTTATCCAGTAAAATCTTCCCAAAAATCAGCTTCAAAGCAACTATAGTTTTTTAAACTTGCTCGTTTCGCGCAGATATATAAATTTTGCTTTGTGTTGTCAAGTTGAACACGCATAACATCTGTCAAAAACCAATGCATAAGTAGGATTTCCTTCAAACAAAGTTAAAGTTACATTACTTCAAGAACTCCTTGCTGACAATGAAGAAATGAATTTTCTGTGCGAAAACAACCTTATACCAAAAGATCTTAAAAGCAAAAGATCAGTTGCAACTTGGCAGCCAAGCCATGATTCACCATTTAGCTATTTTCAATAAGGTTAACCGTTCCATGCGAGGGTCTTCATTTAAGCAAATTAAACTCAGCCGATCATTAGAAAATACAGAAAATTGCACATACGGGTTTGTTTTGCTCGCCTCAGTCAAATCAAGCTGCAGCAATTGTTTACGAGAAAAGAGTCAATTGTTTTGAAGTCACTGCCGGGAGTTATCCTTCTCTACTTCACAGCGAGTGAAAAGGACAATTTGCGTACAGAAAGTTATTCTTCAGACAGAACAGGAACTTTCACAGCGCACTGGAAAACAAAACTATGTAATGAAAAATGAAAAAAACTCTGACTATTATTACTTGAGCAACAAAAAAATGATCTTGAGTAAGCTTGCTAGCCTTCTATCTCCGAGAAAGTTTAATAAGAGCACAAGTTTGTTCACTCTGATGCGTTATAACAGCAATATGGTTCTTTGACTGAAGACAAAGATAAAGCTGGTTCTGCAAAGGTAATAAATCTGGGCATATAAAAAAGTAACAGTAACTACTGACAACAGAATACAAGCAGGTTTTAATTCAACCTGGCGAAATCAACTCATAAATTAATGGGATGCACAATCAGAAAAATACTCGCCTCTTAAGAAATGTTCAAACCTCAGACTGACGGAATGATCCGTTTTTCCTTTAACATTGGTTGTTCTGAATCCAAAGTAATTTTCAAGCGACGAAAAAAAAGCAAACATGTTAAATAAAAATGCTTTACAGGGAGCAAACGTTCGCACCTCATGCATTTCGTTCAGAACTCCAGCAACAAACAAACACAATCGACACACAGAAAAGCCCACCTTGAGCCTGCGATAAGGGATGCGCAGAAGCTTGCGCAGAATGTTTTTCCGCCCTTAAGGACTGACAAGGCAGGCAAATGCCCTGCAGTAGCCTGGGGAGAGGGGAGTGGGGGGTGCTGGGCACAGCTGGAATTGACTGATGCATAAAGCTAAAAGTGAAGCAATTTCTACCCGCTACCATCGATCTTCCCTGTCGGTAAAAACCCAGAGATTGCATTTTCTTGTTTTTGTTCAATTTGGAGACAAATAAGGCCCGGTTCAGACGCTGAACTTTTCATGAGCCGAACCTAATTGGAATTCACAGGAAAAAATAACAGATTCCCATTTCTGGATATTTTAGGGTATTTAAAGAATACCCATAAAAATCCCAAATTTGGCAAAGTGAGACAAGTCCCAACCAGGGAATTCCCAACCAAGTTCCTTGATTGGGACTTGTCTCACTCTTCCAAATTTGGGATTTTTGTGGGTATTCTTTAAATACCCTAAAATATCCAAAAATGGGAGTCCGTTATTTTTTCCTGTGATTAAGACCGACCCAAACTATTAAGACTGGCTGAATTGATTCAGACGCCAATCTTAATTGCAGCTGAACTTGGTTCAAAAGGTGAAAAATGTTCCTTTCAGTCAAACTGCTTACAAAATATGTTATAATAATTTATGCATTAGGTTTGGTACATGAAAAGTTCAGTGTCTGAATCAAAGCTGTTCCAAAGTCGCCCTAAAGGCAAAATTCCAAGCCGGGCTAGGCGAAAAGAAGAGCTGAGCCATTCCAAATTCAAACAGGCGTTCCTAATTGATTCAGACGCCAAACTTTTCATGAACTTAATTCAATGTATTAGGTTCGGCTCATGAAATGTTCGGCATCTGAACCAGGCCTTATGTTAAGGATATGTGGTAAAATTTCGAGCCTTTAAATTCAATTTATCTTTGTAGAGTTGTCAAATTTTCAGCATTCAAGTGAGAATATTATGCCCATTGATGACTTGGTGAGGGGCAGGGGTGGGGAGGGAAAGTTTAGGCTTCAAAATCTTGCACAGAGTGAGGAACAGGGCACAGCCTGTTACATTGCGACAGTATTTATTTTCAAACATGTAACTAAGAGACATGTTGGAGAGGGACTGCCTTTTAAGGCAGTCCCTCTCCAACATCACAAGTTAAGGTAACTTAAAAGCTACCTTAACTTGTGACGTTTTGTTCTTTATCCTTGATGCTGATAGGGACTCTTTAAGGCAAGGTTGTTTGTTATATTTTAGGAGCTGTTTCTCAGACTCGTCTACTGACCTCTAATCAGCAGTCCAATGGCAAAGTCGATAAGTCACTTCTCTCTAAACTAAGGAAAGAAACAGGCTTTGGATTTGCTAAATGCATGGAAAGTCTGCGGTTGAATAAGAATGATTACAATGAAGCTCTGAGATGGCTGGAGGCAGAGGCAGAGAAACAAGGCTGGGAAAAGGCAACTAAACTGCAAGGAAGGACAGTTTCAGAGGGTCTTGTTGGTGTTCTGGTGGATGGTAACTTTGCTGCCATGGTTGAGGTGACTAAGTTGTTTCAGTTTATTTTGGCTTGTGATCATTTTAACCTACTCATCCCCAGAAGAGGCATATTAAATCAAAATTCAACGACAACTGAACATTTCATTTTACAAAATGCTGAGAATAACAAATGGTACCATGTGAAGGACTTGTCACACCACAAGACTCTGTCCACAGACTACATGTTCTCATTGGGATTGAAATGCTTAAGAAGATAAAATAATTTTATTTGAAAATATTTGGACCATGTTTAATCTGTTAAACATTAAGCAAGAAGTTCCACACAAATGAAATCAATTTGTGTATTTAAGGATGTAATTGAACAACAAACTATTTTCATATTGCTCATATGTTTTTTTAAAGTACACATGAAAACGATTAAGGTCAGTTTTTCTTTTAACTTTGAAGCCTTTGGATTTCGAACTCTGACAAAAAAACAGTGAAACCTTTAAAACCAGCTAAGAATAACAAACATTTTATTTCTCCTCATAGCAACACTGCTCGGGCAATAGGCCATTTGCATGATGATGTCATTTTACTACTAAGACCAGAATCCATCAGGGTTTTGCTTTCTTGTGCAAATTAGTGCTTTTGTTATTTAAACCTCTCTGGGATTACCAAATTAAAATGTGACAGGAAAATCCCATCTGGGGCTCAGATTTTTTCTGTGTTCTCTTATGGTTGATTCTTTGCATCTCCGTTTATTTCCTTTATAATATGAAAGGAAAATCGTAAAGGATTCTGGTCGTAGTGGCAAAATGATGCAATTGTGCAAATTTCCTATTGTTAACAGTGTGCAAAAGAAAGAAATGATCAGCAAGTGAAAATGTATAGAGAAGAATGCAGAGAATGTACATGCTGATAAAAATCAATCAATCAATCAATGAATAACGATTTAGAGGTAGCACATCCACTATAGAGTGGGACTTCGTCTATCTGATTCCTGGTCGAATTTGAATTTGGAAATGTTGGTTTTTGACTAGGGAGTAAAGCCTGAGTACCAGGACAAAAATGCTCTAAAAGCAAGGGAGGGAACCAACAACAAACTCAACCCACATACGGCAAAATACCAGGATTTGAACCCGGGCCACATTGATGGGAGGCGATTGCTCTCACTACTGCACCACCACCCTTGCTCTGGTATAATAGTTTAAAGGCTTATTGCAACCACTCAGCTTTCTAATTATTAACAATGTTTTCAGAATAGAAAATAACTGAGTGTTTTTTCTCCCACCCATTGTGTTAACATCATGACCCGTCGGTTTTGGTTAAACAGTGAGATTTTATGAAGAAATTAGAGGGCCACAGGGTTCCAATAGATCTTAGTCAACAAAACAATATAAAGAGGATTGTTCTTGTTCTTTTAGGTTAACTGTGAGACTGATTTTGTAGCGAGGAATGAACTTTTTGTAGACTTGGTCTCCAATATTGCAAATATAGCAGTTTCGAAGCGCAAGAAGATCGTTGATCAAAACCAAAAGATAAATGCATTTGGTAGTCAACTTGAGCACCTGCGAGAGGTTATCCCTGAGCACAAACTGCGAAATGAGAAAATACAAAACAGCAATGGAGAAACTGTGGGAGATTCTGTGACCAGAACTATTGGCAAACTAGGAGAAAACATCAAAATAAATAAAGTGGTAACCATGACAACTGAAGAAGCCAATGTGATTGGTAGGTATGTACATGGCTCCTTTGTGACGTCATCTGGAGGATGCTTTTTGGGGAGGTACGGCGGAATTGTTGTTATAAAACCCAAGCACGATGAAGTCAAATTGGATTCCATGTTTAGTTTGGCAAATAAATTAGCACAGCATGTTGTGGGGATGAATCCAGCAGTGATTTCCGAACACGACAGGGAAGATAAGGAAGCTGAAAAGGGTGACAGTAGTGATGTATTGCTTGAGCAAGACTATTTGCTCGATGAAAAAATGACAGTGAAGGATTTGGTGGAGAAGGAACAAGTTGAAGTTGTTGATTTTGTTAGATATGAATGCGGGGCATAAACAGCTTAATAACCAAGAGCTTAAACGTTTATTTCTGAATAGACCGAGCCATTTTATAAAGAAAGAAGCTATTAAATAAACTTTGCATTTCTCGTCTGTCTAACAGTAGTTAACTTTCAAATAGGCACTCTAAAAACAATAATTTGTCCCTCAAATTGGCACCTCCAGAAAGTTCCGATCAACAGTGCCAAATCCCCACAAAAATTAGCTTCTCCATTCTGGTAAGTATTGAAAATGTAACTCCATTCAGTAAAATTAGTCAAATTGGAAAATGGACCCCAATCAGAAACACTTTCCCATCGACCTGTTACTAGAAAGCATACCCGGCATGTACCAGATTCTTTAACTGCAGGCCACAATAAAAACAATTTTAAGCCCTGTGCAAACGGACACAAAATTGTTGGACGTCACATGTTGCGTCTGTTTGCACACCCTGTTGCATGTTGCTGCATGTTGTTGGGAGTTGTTGCGCAAAGTTTGAAACTGGTCAGGCTACGTGTAAGCGGACGCAGCAACTCCCAACATTGTTGGCCCCTTTTGCACATAGCTTGACCGGTTTCACACTTTGCGCAACAACTCCCAAGAACACGCAACAACTTTTGAACCAACAACTTCCACCATTTCTTTTGTTCCGTGATCGCTGAAGCGTAGTGCAACAATGTTGCATCCGTTTGCACAGCTCTTCCAACATTGTTGGGTCCACGCACGCGCATTACACATAATCTTCTTGGAGTTTACAAAGTTTTATGGGTTGTACCCTCACGATGCACTGCAGGTCCCAACATTTTTGGGGCCGCGCACGCTCATTACACATGGTTTACAAAGTTTTATGGGTTGTATCCTCACGATGCACTGCAGGTCCCAACATTGTTGTAAGTTGTGGCATCCATTTGCACACCACTGCCAACACGGACGCAACAACTCTTAACACTGTTGGGAGTTGTTACACGTAGCTTTGGTCGTATTCATCTGTTTCCTGGAAAAGTAGGTTAAAGTCAGTCACAGAGGGACAAAGCTGATGTTTCCAAAGGAAACCAAACGTAAACATAACTCAATTTTAGAACTTCTACCCGGCAACTACTCTTTTATACTTAAGAAACTGAATAGGAAAAGGATGCAATCTGAAAAAGCTGCCGTGTTCGTGCTTTTGCTCCTAAAAGGAAACATAATTTTGCTTGTCCCGCGCTGGCGAATTTGTTTGTTTTTTGCAAGACCCACAGTGGTGTCTTTGTATAAATCTGCTGGCCCCACCATGGGGTATTTGCAGCAGCACTCCAAAGAAAAAGTGACAAATTCCTAACAAATGCCCCACGTATGCACACGTATAAAGCCCCATCCACACATATCGGCCGGGAATTTTTGAAAACGGAGATTTTTTTCCTCCGGCTTAGGCTATGTTCACTCAGCATCAGATAGCTTTTGCGCCGTCACGAAAAACATACCGGAGAGGGCTTCTGTTCACACACAAGAACGGTTGTGGTGACGCGATTTCTGTAACGGACCGAAGCTGCGTCCTGCCGATCTCGAAAGTGGAGGTTCACATATCGGATAGGTTTTGTGCCATACTTTGGCGCAAAGTAAACACCTATTCGGCCCGTCGCGGAAGTAGATAGGGAACTTAGATGGAGACGTTTTCGGGGCAACGGCGACCGGACTGGCAGAGCAAGCCTGGAACAGAGGTTACCGTCGCTTCCCTCCAAAATTCGAACATTAAGATCGCAGTGAACTCAGGAGGACGGCGCCTTCGAAGACTACCGAAGAGGAAAATATGGCTACGCATAAAGAATTAAGAGAATTAATGCTTATTTGCTTGCATGAAACAACAATAACAGCAACAACAATAACTTTATTCCAGTATTCCCACGTTAGTACGTGGTATTATTACCTTCTATATTCTAAACAATTTTCAATACATACGTTTCATTTATACGATACTCTAACCAAAAAAAGTGTTACAACATCATTCTGATTTTGGCTACAACTACTAGAATATTCAAATTCAAATAAAAAAGTAAAAATGAAATGGCTGAATTCTGGCAGTTGATGTTAAAGACGTTTACGTTAAGTTGAGTTTTAAAGCAGGAACGTCTAACCTTATTTGTAAATCGTGAGAGCTGCACAGCAGTTCTGATTCATTAACAATCATTTAGAGAGCAAAAGCTTTCTGTTTTAAAACGAATTAGGTTCATCTTTAGTGATAAAGGAAGCCGTAAGTGCTTTTACTTATAGTCAACAACCCCTGAAGCATTAGAAAGGCTTTTCATAAGACAGTTCAGTGAAATAAACGGTTTTTTTTTTTATTGATGCATAGTAACCTGGAGTCTTCAGAAATAATTCTAGAACTAAAAAACCAGAACTATTACAGTGTACTGAGAAATTGACATCTTGGAAAAGAATGCACGCCTTTAAGTTTACGATCTCAGCCGAGTTTGGCTACGCTGGTGTTATCAATCAAGCACTTGTTCCTTAACGTTAAGACAATAAAGGACAAAGGCTATTTGTAAATTGAAACTTTCCTACGGGAAACATGAATGCTGACGGCCATTACGGTTCTACACCTGGGGGCATCCTTTTTATGGAACTGACACTTTCTTTTTTTTAATTATTTTACCTTACCATCGGTAAACCAGGCATGGGTAAAGAGATGATCACCAATCCAAAATTCATCATACGTCTGAGGGAAGATTAAAAAACAACACATTTTAAAGAGTAGCAATAAGCCCCAATGTGGTAAGTTGCCTTTTAATCGATCCTCCAACCTTTGCCATGAAATGAAATTTAAAGCGTACAATCTAAACTTAAGCAGGAAGCAAAACCGATTCTGCAATCCCGAGAAAGTAAATTAAACAAGCCGTGCGGCTGGTATAGTTAAAACAGCGATTAAAAGTCTACAAAACTCCTCTTAGGTATAACTTAAAACTTTTTTAACGCAATTTTCGGTTAAGTCGCAAAATTTGCCTGAAATCCCGCGCGCACGCGATGTTTCACTACCACTAAATCAGTATTTAGAATCATTTATTATATTCATTTTATAAAAATTTCTGAACTTATTTCAAAATGACTTCTTCCAAAACAAATATCATGATCTTTGTGTTTCTTATACGCGGGGAAAACTATGTCATTCTGAACATTAGAACCATCATGTAAAAACAAACCAAAGTTATATATATGTCAAATTCAGTGAAGTCAGTCACGACTGGTATGCTCTAGTTATCTTTCCCGCTATTTATACTTTCTTTGACTCAGTTTTAAACCGTAGAGTCCTGCTGTTTGAAAAAAAAAAATCTGGGCCCAAAGAACGCCGCTTTTGCTCTGACCTGCTAAGAGAATTATTACAGGTTAATTGCAAATAATAGTTTCGTGTGATCATGCCCAAAATCTCTTAAATCGTTAAAAGGTCTTTTATGGGTTATGCCCTAGCAAGAAAAGTACTTTACACTTATTAATATAATAATGTTTAATGTTACACGAATTTCATCATCATGTCATGTGAGGAATAAGGCAGAAAATCTGAATATACCGACAATATCTATTTGGGTAGATACTTTAATTCTTCGAAGACTGACACAGATAAAATGTTTACCTTTAGCGCAGGTTCATACTTGCTTTCGTCCCTTTCATTAGACGAACTCTTCTTCTTTTACGGAATCGAAGTTTTGCGATTATTGCGGAGGACGAATTCAGTGAATGACGACTGGAATACCAAAATTTGCTAACGTGCGTACACTTACTAAAGACGCATATATTTACGATGCCAGATTGAGTAATCGTTGAATAATTATTTGTTCTTTAAAAGACTAACAGTAAATTGAAAATTCCGCGCAGAAAGGAAAGCCGTTAGTTAGCAACACGCGATTTCTATTTTCAGAACTGAGTTGTAATTGCTGAAGTTTTTTATTTCCAAGTTTATCAAGTTTTCACAATGTACATGCTTTTCTCGCACACACTAGACTGTTCACAGTCCTCTATTTTTCCGTAAGATCATCGAGATCGAGGGCTTTGCGTTACGGGCTACCCATCTAGCATGAGTGTCAAAACTACCTAGGGGGTGGGGGCGGTTTGTAGCCATGACGGTAAGACGCGGTATATCTAAACGATCTCACGAAAAAAAAGGGGACTGTGAACAGTCTACTCAGAAACGCATGCAGCCCTTCGTCGGCAAACTGGTTACTTTGATTAATATAGCCTTGACCAGTATAATATTTGAAAGCAAGACCCTATAGAACACTGCTTATCTCCAGTCCTGTTTCTTGCTTTACTGGTTCTATTCTCTATTTTTATTTTCGGTTCAAAAAATAGGGCAACTGTTAGGTTTAGGAACAACGCACTATACATAAATAAAGTATTTCATGGTACAACACCAGGTAAATCAGTCAGTGCGGAACATTGAAGAAACAGTTAGTGAACTCGAGCTTGGGTTGTATGTTTACGTATTTCTGATCACATGATGTTACTCTAGAAATCGTTTCTTTTTTGCGTTCGACGTCGGGGAACGCAACCTAAACTCAGCGCGCGAGAAGCCTGGGTATGAGCATTTAGCAGAAAGAAACTCGTGTTAAGGGCAAGTACCGGGAACGAAAATACGTCATAGACCGCACGACCCGCGTTTCGGAAGGTCGCATGGCGATTCGGATAATTTAAAGTTGAACGAAAATCAGCGGAAATACTGTTGATTTGCATATATTGGAAACCAACTTTTGGAAAATCTCATCATCATTTATAATACATGTTCTGCTAAAAGAAAAAAATTCACTGCTCAGACAATAGAAAGTAATCTATTCTCTCTTAAGTCAGAGTAATAGAATCGATACCCAGTCGTTCTGTGCGACCGTAATGGCTATTTAAAATTTCAAAAGCGTTCAAAAAATTGCATTAGCCTGAGAAAACAGCAGAAAGTTCGCAACGGCACCATTGATTTCCCATCGAATGACGTTTGAGGAATGAGAGGAGAAATCCATACTGATGACGTGTCACTACCTAGATCTGGGATGTACTTCCAAAAGATCGTTTTCACATGACGTCACGGCGGCTATACAGCTTTATTGGGGAGCTTAAACGACGACGACGCAACGAGAACGGCAGAAAA